CAAACAGGTAACATCGGCCCTGTCTAAGCCGGATCGGGCAATCAGATCACCCTCGGGGGCAGGCGGTGAGAGGCGGCAGATGGACCGTGCAATAGCGGCCGTTTCCGGCGCCCCACTAACCGTCTCATCGTATACTATTTTATATTTTTATTAAAAAAGGGGCCGAGTTACAGCCTGAGGGGCTGAGAGGGTACTATAGGCCTAGAGGCATCCGCATAGTCAGTCGTATTAATTAATTAATTAATTCATTAATTATCTTAAGGTGTATATACTTTATTCTGAGAGTCGAGACTTGGATTTTATTAGTAGAATCCTTTGCTCTCTAATAGTAATAGGTAGGATTATATTGTTATCGTCTAGTCTAGCTTATAGAAGGATCACCTATCCAGTAGATATAGATGATACAGAGAATAGCAGTATTTCACTCCAGAGAGAAATATCAACAGAAAAGAAAGAATAGATATTTTTCGACACGTACAGAGCACTAATCTCGCCTGGACGACTTCCAGGTCCAGTCAACACTTGAACTTCAGTAATGGTTGCGAATACTCCATGCATGCTTTGAAGATCTATATTGAAACGTGTATTTATTGACTGGATGCATGAGAACCATGCTCAAAATGCTGGAAACTAACTCACTGGTCAGCTGTGAAGGATGCCACTGCACGTCGAGAAGGAAAAAGAAATCGATATTAAATAAAATGGAAGTATGTGATTATAGCTTCTAAATACTATAATAATAGCTTATATTATATACTAACTTTATAGTAGGTGTAACTTTATGATAGAGACTAAAAGTATTTTTCTTTCTTAAAAAAAGGTAGATATATACGTAAAAAAAAAGCAACAGTGATGAATTTTGCTTGAAAGCGCGGTCCCATGATCTTCGATCCAACTTACACTAGATTATATTTTTATAGTATTCCATTACTTCTAGATTTGATTGAGAAGATCTTGCTTATTGTAGCGATGATGTGGATCTCAGATCGGCTGGTGTGAGGCATCTATCTAGATACGTGCAGGGGTACTCCATTCCTCTATTAGCACATGCAAGATGATGTTGGATTGGTTGGATGCTTGCTTCGACTGATTGGCAGTAATCTGACAACTGATTAATATTATCCAGTCTGTTCTTGAATAGTCCGTCAGGAATTCTTTTTGCTATTGTATTGATGCCTGAATATGATGGCGCGTATCAGGTGACCGTAATCGACCACCACAGAGAAAAGAGATACTCCCTCGACAACTCCCTCAACACACAATCAACCTCGTCAAACTCAGATCTCAACAGGATCAGACTGGATCACTCGATCAGACAACTTAGAGATCCAACATCTTGCACCATTCTTACATAACTGCCACTCCCTTCCATCCGAACGGTGGTTGGCGCAGATGTTTTAGCCGACTCCGCCATCTTCCCACGGGGAAAAATTCCCGGCAGTAAGGAGAATATTCTCCCGCCATTTATCCGCCAACGCGGTTAGGACTGTCGCAGCGGACGACTGTACTGCACTGAGTACTACTTGATGATTAATGCGTTTACTGCTGCAGGATCGAGCTGACAGCTGTTAGTAGTCGAGACGTTGCATCCAGCATCTCTCACGCCAGCCAGGTCCATGCGATACTCCGCACGGACACCAGTCACTGCCAGCACGAGCAGACGGCGAAGATTCTACCAGCTTCAGCTGCCATCGAACAGACCACAGCAGCACATTGATAATTACATCAGCTGTCACCTGCCGGTCATCCGGTGGCAGATGGCAGTGGCACTGAAAGCTGGGTAAATGCTCACACGTCCAGTCAGTGTTGTTGGTGGCTTGAGCGACAGTGGAGAGCAACGACGAGCGGAGCAGGCATTGGCCTGCTCTCGCCATGCAGGTTCCACACGAGCAGTTCCACATGGCATGGCATGCAACACGTGGGATGGCAGTAAGCCGGGATCGCGAGTACGAGTACGGACGACTACGCAGTCCAGAAGCGATCGTCAGGAGCAGCGCAGAACGAGATCGAGATGTGACCAACACTGTCTGGCTGCAGGCTGGCTGCAGATGTCTACGAGTGTCCTGGTCGATGGCTGCTGACCTGCCCGTCGGGGATTAGGCTGGTGCTGGAGCCGGCTGCGCTCCCGAGGCCGGCAAATAAGCACGGCCGCCGCCCGGGGTAGCCGGCCTCATCCCCGTGGAGATGAAGAACTGGAGTCGGCTGGAGACTGGAGGCGACATGGCATCCCCGGCTGCGGGCGTCGCCAATGAGATGCCGTCCGCCATTTTATCCGGCTCGCGAGCATTCAGCCTGAATGCGCCGCCGATGCAGCTGGCCAAAACGGTCGGTCCGAAAACAATATAAACGAACGCCCGGTCGGAGATGCACGCCCTGCTCGCTCGTTCGTCTGCTCCTCAACTGCTCCCTGGCTCTCCGACAGCGACAGCTTGCCTGCGGCCATGGCTCCTGTGTACTCGCAGACCGAAGATGCGGCCCTGAAGCGCCGGCTGGCGCTCGCCCGGTCGACGGGGCCGCTGGCGTTTTTCCAGAACCTGCGCGTCGTCGGTATCGCGACGTTTGCGTGCTTGGGCGGTTTGCTCTACGGTTACAACCAGGGTGTTTTTAGCGGTGAGTGGCATTCGCGTAATGGGATGGTAGAGAATCGACGGGCTGACCGGTGCAGGCATCTTGACCATGACCTCCTTCGGAAAGCACATGGGCGAATACGTCGCCGACTCGACCAAGAAGGGTTGGCTCACTGCGATCCTTGAACTGGGTGCCTGGTTCGGAACACTGTACTCGGGTTTCCTCGCCGAGGTGCTCAGCCGCAAGTACTCCATCCTGGTCAGCACGGCCATCTTCATCCTGGGTGTCGTCATCCAGTGCACCGCTGTCAGCGCCTCCGGACCCAAGTCCATCCTTGCGGGTCGGTTCATCACCGGCATGGGCGTGGGCTCTCTCTCGTAAGTGCTGCAGTGATGTTTTTTTTTGGAACGTGATGTCTTGGGAACGTTGCTAACTGGAGCAGGATGATTGTTCCGATGTGTAAGTCGTCAGAGTGCTAAAAACGACAGTCGACAGCAGCTGATCGATTCGCAGACAACGCCGAGTGTGCTCCTCCTGAAATCCGTGGCATGCTGGTCGGTATCCAACAGTTCTCGATCGAGTTCGGTATCATGGTCTCGTTCTGGATCGACTACGGAACCAACTACATCGGCGGCACCGGCGA